ATTACTCAAAGACAGTTCCTTAAATACAATTTGATGAAGGTCCAACAAAGGCACTCTGAGGGTACACAGGACCTTGGGAAGTCCAGCTTAACCCAAGGGTAGAATTTGGATATTGAGAAGTATAAAAGAACTGTCTTCAGGCATTCCAGATTAGTTCAAAAGATTCTAATAATGAATGTATTTCTTATGATTGAGCTTTTGATTAAAAGAGGACACTAGATAGTTTGAGATTAGATTCTCTAACAATACGTGTAGTGTCCTTAGGGAAGATCCACACAGTTAATGTGACAGTGTGACAGTCAGGGTAAGTTGATGAGTTCCTATAACTATAGAAAGCACCTAATAAGGGCTCTTGTCTAATGTGGCAACCCCACCACCATAGCAAGAAAGTCTATGCTAGTCTTCATTTTAAGAAATCACTATTATATGTTCACTGATGCCCCCTCTCCCCTCTCAAATATAGCACAAAATTATATATACTTATCTGGAGATAAGATACTGTTTTTTTTTTTTACCAATAAATAAACAAATAATAAAGATTAACTAACTTCCATAAGGGCCATTCATTTGCAAATTCAGACTTTAGAACTCATGTTTTCTAATTCCTCATCCAATGTTAATTTCACATTTTAGGTTTTTTCATTGAAGTATGATATAAATACGGAAAAGTGGTAAATGTCAAGTAGATTTAGAGATTCAAAAAAAAAAAAAAAATTAAAAAGTGGTAAATGTCCAGATCCATGAATTGTTACTAACAAAGCCTCCAGATCAAGAGAGAGAACACTCCCAGTCTAATTCATAGAATTATGAAGTAGAATGGTGGCTGCCAGCGGTTGGGAGGTGGGGGCAGGAGGAATGGGGAATTAGTGTTTAATGGATACATTGTTTTCTTTTGGGAAGATAAAAAAAGTTCTGGAGTGGGATAGGGGTGATGATTGCCCAACAGTGTGGATGGGCTTAATGCCACTGACCTATACACTGAAAAAGGTTGAAACGGCCAATTTTTTTTATGTATTGCCACAATAAAATAGAACATTTCCAGACCCTGAAGCTTCCTGTTCAGGGCATGAGGAACATTCCCAGAAGCTGCCCTTCTGCTTACAGCCACTGCCCACTCCTGCGTACCCCCAGGATTGACTGCTATCGTGACTCAGTTGAAAATTGTTTATACTAAAAGATGCTTAGCAATCCTGCATTCTGACCTTTTAGTTTTACTACTCAGAGAAAAAAAGCACAAGATCTTTGGCTAAGATCATAGTTTGTGTCCCAGGTCAAAATGGATTGAATGGGAAATTAACTGTTTCTTGAACTTGTGGTAGATAACTATTTAGTTATAACAACTAACAGATCTATAATTTATGCAGTTCTTGAACATGCTCTGCTGGGAGGCAGTGAGAGGCTGGTATGTGAACGTAGGCAGAGCAACAGGTAACTAGGGTACAAGGCCGCCAGCTCCAGTCCTCTTGGCCAGGTTGCCGAACCCTGTGCCTGAAGCACTTTGCCAAGCTGATATTTTGTTTTTTATTTTTTATTTTTTTTGAAATGGAGTCTCGATCTGTTGCCAGGGTGGAGTGAAGTGGTGTGGTCTCTGGTTCACTGCAACCTCCACCTCCCAGGTTCAAGCAATTCTCCTGCCTCAGCCTCCTGAGTAGCTGGGACTACAGGTGCACACCACCACGCCTGATAATTTTTGTATTTTTTAGTAGACACAGGGTTTCCCCATGTTGACCAGGCTGGTCTCGAACTCCTGACCTTAGGTGATCCACCCGCCTCAGCCTCCCAAAGTGCTGGAATTACAGGCGTGAGCCACCGCACTCGGCCCTGCCAGGCTGACATTTTACAATAAGAAAAGCTTAATGGACCATGTACAGTGGCCCACACGTATAATCCCAGCACTTTGGGAGGCCAAGGCAGGCAGATCGTTTGAAGTCAGGACTTTGAGATCAGTCTGGGCAACATTGTGAAACCCCGTCCCTACAAAAAATACAAAATTGGCTGAATGTGGTTGTGGGTACCTGTAGTCCCAGCTACCCAGGAGGCTGATGTGGGAGGATGGCTTGAGCCCAGGAGGTGGAGGTTGCAGTGAGCCAAGATTATACTACTGCACTTCAGCCTGGATGGCAGAGCCAGACCCTGTCTCAAAGAAAAAAGAAATGCTTAATGGCTTGTGATTTATTCACTTTTGTGTGTGTTTCTTCTTCTTCTTCTTCTTTTTTTTTTTCTTTTTTTTGAGACCAGGTCTTGAACTGTCACCCAGGCTGGATTGCAGTGGCACAATCTCGGTTCACTGTAGCCTCCACCTCCTGGGTTACAGTGATTCTCCTGCCTCAGCCTCCTGAGTAGCTGGGATTACAGGCACGCGCCACCACACCCAGCTAATTTTTGTTTTAGTAGAGACGGGGTTTCTCCATGTTGGCCAGGCTGGTCTTCAACTCCTGACCTCAGGTGATCTGCCCACCTTGGCCTCCCAAAGCACTGGGATTACAGGCGTGAGCCAGCACACCCACCCATGTTTCTTCTAAAAATAGTTATTTCACAATATAATATTTGCTACACATAAAAGAATATATGCAATGTGTATGTAAGTTATGAATCAGAATAATAAGCAAATACTCATAAACTTACCATCTAACTGTCAGACATTTTATATAGTTAAAAACTTGGGTAGTGGCGGAAGAAAAAAAAACTGTTTTGACTGGGTACGGTGGTTTACATCTGTAATCCCAACATTTTGGGAGGCTGGGGCAGGAGGATTGCTTGAGGCCAGGAGTTTGAGACAAGCCTGGGCAACATAGTAAGACCTCATCGCTACAAAAAAAAAAAAAATTAGGTCAGTCAAGGTAGCCCACCCCTGTAATGCCAGCACTTCGAGAGGCTGAGGCAGGCAGGTCACCTGAGGCCAGGAGTTTGAAACCAGCCTGGCCAAACCGCGTCTGTACTAAAAATACAAAAATTTAGCCAGGTGTAGTGGCACATACCTGTAGTCCCAGCTATTCAGGAGGCTGAGGCAGGAGAATCGCTAGAACCCGGGAGGCAGAGATTGCAGTGAGCCGAGGTCACACCACTCCACTCTGGAGTGAGACTGTCTCAAGAAAAAATTTAGCAGGGCATGGTGGCATGTAGTTCCAGCTCCTCGGGAGGCTGAGGTGGATCTCTTGCGCCCAGGAGGTCAAATCTCTTGTGGTTGTTCCACTGCACTCCTGCCTGGGCAACAGAGTAAGACCCTGGGCAGGGGGGGATAAGCTGTTTTGTTTGCCTCTGCAATTTGTTGCTAAAAATATTATTAAACACAATGTATGTGTATGCAAGGTACCAGGTTAAGTGTTAAAATTCTGGGCTGGCAAGGCTGGGCACGGTAATCCCTCCCAAAGTGCTTGTAATCCCAGCACTTTGGCAGGCTGAGACGGGCAGATCACCTGAAGTCGGGAGTTCAAGACCAGCCTGGCCAACGTGGTGAAACCCCATCTCTACTAAAAATACCAAAAATTGGACAGTGGTAGTGGAGGGCACCTGTAATACCAGCTACTCAGGAGGCTGAGACAGGAGGATCGCTTGAACCTGGAAGGTGGAGGTTGCAGTGAGCTGAGATCACGCCATTGCACTCTAGCCTAGGCAACAAGAGCGAAACTCCATCTCAAAAAAAAAAAATTCTGGGTTGGCTTTTTTCTCTACATCTAGTCTCATGAGAAACTCTTAGAGTTCTAAGTTACATACTTGTCATTGCTAGTCTTGAAATGAGCTGATGGGGAATTGGCACCAAAATGAGGATTCAGTGTTAGATTAAGAAAGAATATACTGAGCTCAGAGGGCTTTGTGGTTTTATTACAGAGCAGGTTACTGCTCCTTCTCTCCTGGCCAGGTTCAGTATTATTTCTCCCGTGCTAGCTAGCCTCACACCAAAACTAAGCATTGCTTAAGTATTTGCCATATTTAATCTGGCAAAGGAAATGTGTTTCTTCACATTTGGAAAGATTGAGGTGCTGGTTTTTACTGTTGTTGATGGTGTTTAGTTTTTGCTGCATCTGCACACAAATTCCTCACATTTCATGAGCATAAATTGTTGTCTTTAGCTTTCTTAAGTTTGGAATCTGCTTCTTAGCCTCATTTCTCAAAATTGAAATTTGTATAAATCTTTTTATATATATATACTTTAAGTTCTGAAGTACATGTGCAGATCTTGCAGGATTATTGCATAGGTACACACATGCCATGGTGGTTTGCTGCCTCCATTCCCCCGTTACCTACATCAGGCATTTCTTCCAGTGTTTCTGTCCCCAACCTCCCCACCCAAATTTGTATAAATCTTAACAGCTCTGGTCTGGAAGTCAGTTATACTTTTTTTTTTT